TGTGTTCGTTACCGTGATAATATAGTATGATTGAATCGATGTTCCTGAAGACCAAATAATAGCTCAGGTTTTAGTGGGAACAGCTGAAAATGCATTAATACTTGATCTCAAGCAAGCAGATGTGCTTATCAGTGCCCATACAATCACGCAGATACTCGAAAACGTAGTCCCAGAGTCAGTTTCATCTCTACATTCGCAAAGCAGAGAGTATATCCACTTTTAGAGAGGCTTCATCTATCGAAGAACTAAAAGAAGTGAACTGTGAATTGCTCGAGTGGGCTATAGATCGCATGGTTGCTTTATCTCAATCGCTTTTGGATGGTTTCCATCCACTGCATACAATGCTCTGTGGCACGAACGCAATGATTTCGGCAGCTGGGTAAAAAATTTAGAGCACACCCAACATGTTTTCAAAAAAGTACTGCAGATTTCTGCTGGATTTCTATACAGGCACTGATTGCGCGGATTGGATTCAGTCTCGTGAAGTCGGTTGTTCCAGCAAAACAAAGGTAACCAGTTAGACTTAGCGATAACTCCAATTTTGCAGGAATTACATGTAGAACTTTTGCAAAGAACAAATAATTTCAGGCACTAGAAGCATACGGCAACATTATACAGTATCTCTCGACCAAGTACAGAAGCCAGCCGATGAGGATCGTGGCAATTTGTAAGCTTGAATATTGCACTAAATACTGACTCTATTGCTTAAAACAACGAACTGCACACGAGATTTGAAATCTTCAAAGGAAAACCTAAGTACCGACTAAACATTTTGACAATGCCAGTTTATAGGGAAGAAATCGGATTTGAACGTCACATCAACAAGAGGCACGCAAAAATCATTGACAGCTAACGGCAGCCTAGTGCGCCACTGCCATCAATTTATCACAAAACTATTTCCCGCATTGTTGGCGGTGGATCGAGGTGTAGGAGAAGAGAAAAAGCGAATTGGTTTGGAGTTGGAAAGGCAGGCAAAGATCATGTTGAAGGTATGCGGATGAAATTATTTGAGTCTGAATAGATAATTTAATGATATGTTTGTTAGATTACGGTAACTTTTAATAAAAACCAGTTTTTTAAGATTTGTTCTGCGCTCATGAAAATGATGGATAACCCTAAATGTTTCACGACCATGTTCAAGTTCACTACCGTTATGCTGGAGAAAAATGTCATTGGTGAGGCATTGTTAACTTCAGTTCTTGTTTGCCAGCACGACCTGACATTTTCAGTATTTACGAATTTTCAGGTAACAACCACACACTTCGAGAATTCTTGAAATGGCTGTCCACGTTGGCAGCAAAATGCATGGATATGGATCATAGTGTGGAAAGAGCTTTGAACACCATTGCTGACGATCTCATACAAGTGCTTAGTGAAGAGGTAAGCCAGCTCATCAGACGATAACTGAATCAGTTTCC